GGTGGTTATTGGGGAGTATTGTGAGGATATAGGGGGGGGAGACTGGGTGGTTATTGGGGAGTATTGTGAGGATATAGGGGGGAGACTGGGTGGTTATTGGGGAGTAGTGTGAGCATATGGGGGGGGATACTGGGTGGTTATTGGGGAGTAGTGTGAGGATATGGGGGGGATACTGGGTGGTTATTGGGGAGTAGTGTGAGGATATAGGGTAGACTGGGTGGTTATTGGGGAGTATTGTGAGGATATAGGGGGGGGAGACTGGGTGGTTATTGGGGAGTATTGTGAGGATATAGGGGGGAGACTGGGTGGTTATTGGGGAGTAGTGTGAGCATATGGGGGGGGATACTGGGTGGTTATTGGGGAGTAGTGTGAGGATATGGGGGGGATACTGGGTGGTTATTGGGGAGTAGTGTGAGGATATAGGGTAGACTGGGTGGTTATTGGAGAGTATTGTGATGTCCATTGACCCTGCACTCATCATATACATGGGTTACATTAACTTATAGCCTGCCAGGCTCTTGCAGTGTTTTATACTCCGTATGTGGAGTGCTCTGGCTGCTCTGAGTGCCAGGCATGGCCTGGAGACTTCTAAACCTATCAAGTCCCTGCCCAGCCAGATCCCATAATGCCGATCCCATAATGCCTTGCTCTAACCTGTCCTGTTACTGTAGTTATAATTACCTGCTTACTGTGACACTGTGCATCGCTGTCATCTAATGTTATTACCCAGGCGTTCTCTCTGCGTAGAACTCTATTAATCTATAACCATTTAATATGGAAATTCTATAACTTATTGGTTAAGTGACTAGAATTCGGTGTAATGAAAGGTAAAAGTGTAAAATCTGTGACCGTTTTTTTTTTCTTCGTAATCACTTTAAAAAAATAAAAAATGTTTGTTTCTCTTTTCCAGTGGAGCCTGAGGGTACCGCCCCAAGGTGAGACCCTTTTAACAAACTTAAACTGATGTTGTGTCATGATACGCTGTGACCCTTGGAGGAACTGGCCCTCAAAGGACCACTATAGCGCCTGCCACCCTCAGGGCCCCCCTCCTGCTGGGCTGAAGGGATTAGAACCCCTTCAGCCACTTGCCATAATCCAGCGCCGTCTCTCCTTCCTCTCCGACGTCAGCTCCCGAGTGGAGCCGAATGCGTGGGCGCATTCAAACTGCCCAGCTCAATGCTTTCCTATGGACGTTCTGCGTGCGCCTCAGCGTTGCAAGAGCGGCTGACAGCCATAGCTGGAAACCCTGCAATTACATAGCAGTTCCTCATTGCTTTCACTTTAGTGGTCATTTAAACATGTCACTGTCATTAGTACACTGTGACCCTGGGAGGGACCGACCATTAAACATGTCACTGTCATTAGTACACTGTGACCCTGGGAGGGACCGACCATTAAACATGTCACTGTCATTAGTACACTGTGACCCTGGGAGGGACCGACCATTAAACATGTCACTGTCATTAGTACACTGTGACCCTGGGAGGGACTGACCATTAAACATGTCACTGTCATTAGTACACTGTGACCCTGGGAGGGACCGACCATTAAACATGTCACTGTCATTAGTACACTGTGACCCTGGGAGGGACCGACCATTAAACATGTCACTGTCATTAGTACACTGTGACCCTGGGAGGGACTGACCATTAAACATGTCACTGTCATTAGTACACTGTGACCCTGGGAGGGACCGACCATTAAACATGTCACTGTCATTAGTACACTGTGACCCTGGGAGGGACTGACATGTCACCATTAGTACGCTGTGACCCTGGGAGGGACTGACCATTAAACATGTCACTGTCATTAGTACACTGTGACCCTGGGAGGGACCGACCATTAAACATGTCACTGTCATTAGTACACTGTGACCCTGGGAGGGACTGACCATTAAACATGTCACTGTCATTAGTACAGTACACTGTGACCAAGGGAGGGACCGACATGTCACTGTCATTAGTACATGTCACTGTCATTAGTACACTGTGACCCTGGGAGGACTGACCATTAAACACCCTTGACCCTGGGAACCATGTCACTGTCATTAGTACACTGTGACCCTGGGAGGGACTGACCATTAAACATGTCACTGTCATTAGTACACTGTGACCCTGGAGGGACTGACCATTAAACATGTCACTGTCATTAGTACACTGTGACCCTGGGAGGGACTGACCATTAAACATGTCACTGTCATTAGTACACTGTGACCCTGGGAGGGACGACCATTAAACATGTCACTGTCATTAGTACACTGTGACCCTGGGAGGGACCGACCATTAAACATGTCACTGTCATTAGTACGCTGTGACCCTGGGAGGGACCGACCATTAAACATGTCACTGTCATTAGTACGCTGTGACCCTGGGAGGGACCGACCATTAAACATGTCACTGTCATTAGTACGCTGTGACCCTGGGAGGGACCGACCATTAAACATGTCACTGTCACTGTGACCCTGGGTAGGGATGACCATTAAACATGTCACTGTCATTAATACACTGTGACCCTGGGAGGGACTGACCATTAAACATGTCACTGTCATTAGTACACTGTGACCCTGGGAGGGACTGACCATTAAACATGTCACTGTCATTAGTACACTGTGACCCTGGGGGGACTGACTGGGCATTAAACATGTCACTGTCATTAGTACACTGTGACCCTGGGAGGGACTGACCATTAAACATGTCACTGTCATTAGTACACTGTGACCCTGGGAGGGACCGACCATTAAACATGTCACTGTCATTAGTACACTGTGACCCTGGGAGGGACTGACCATTAAACATGTCACTGTCATTAGTACACTGTGACCCTGGGAGGGACTGACCATTAAACATGTCACTGTCATTAGTACACTGTGACCCTGGGAGGGACTGACCATTAAACATGTCACTGTCATTAGTACACTGTGACCTGCTGGGAGGGACCGGAACTGACCATTAAACATGTCACTGTCATTAGTACACTGTGACCCTGGGAGGGA